CTTTCGGGGCATGAGAATTGCTTCCAAAGTCGTGTCCGACCCGCACAGGCTGGTTTCCGGAGTGATTTTTCTCCCTGGAGCCCCATAAAGTTCTAATCCGCACTGTCGTTGTCTGCTCTTACCTACCTTTTTCTCCTGCTTCTCCTTTTATACTTGTAGAGCTTTAATAAAGGAGCAGTATCTTGTGGGTGTCTTTTCTTAGTGGTGTTCATTGTCGTGTATATACAAGTACTCGTAATTGGTTTTACAAGGAAGAGTAGGACTAAAGCTACATGTACGTACTTTCAGGTTTTTTTCCCCCCCAAGTGGGGGTCACAAAGCCTCTGAGACACTGCAGTGAAGTGCACTGACCCTCCACACGGCTCCCTTTATCCAGCTGGGCTGGCGCCTCTAGCCGGGCTCTAGGTCCCGTGCTCCCTTCAGACTCTTCCGGAGTAGTTTGTACCAAACTGAGCACCCGGGCTTGTTTTGCACCACATCTGAGCTGTGAGGAGATGCGAGGCCAGAACTGTGTGCTGGGCAGATAAAGGGAAGGCTGGGAGTGACACTTGTGAATGGACTAGGAAGATTAGGGCTGAGGTCAGGAGCCATGAGATGGGATTTTTAAAGGATTGTTTTACCCTGTTGTTATGTTGGTTTTTTGGGTTTGTTTTTCTTCATGTGGTTGTTTTTTTACAGTCTTTCTCTGGTCAGCTGCATGTTTTGATGAGGAGTCAACATGAGCTGTGATGTGTCTATTTCACTACTGTGTTTATCCAGCAGAGGGGCATAAAGGAGGTGCCGTTTGTGGATGTATATACCTCCTGTAAATGCAGTGCTGGGGAGTCCACAGTTGACCTTTATTGACATCAGCATTTGACCTTGCAGTCTGCCGTCAGTTGCGTACAGTGTTCAAATGTGTAGTGTGTTAAAGCTGCCAGGTTTTAGGAGCTTGAAGTTGGTGGGGTTTGGATCTGTCTCCCAATTGCTTTGCTGGTAATTAATCCAAGATGTTTGGATTACTTAGTTGTCAGTGATTTAAAGATATCCTAAAGCATATTGGTGCTTCTTTTAGTTTGGTGGTTTCCACTTGTATTGTTGTTCGGAGACAAAGATATCCAAAGTTGGTGCAGCGGACAAAACACAGTGTACCGTTTAAGTTATGTAGCTTTCAGGTTCATGTTTTGATAAAGTGTTTGGTATTTACTGAAGTCATTCAGACTGTCTGACAAATTCCATCAAAGCAAAGATTATATTAAAGGGCTTACTAAATAATGAAAGTAGTTATTTTAAATTTTCTTGACTATTTTGCATGTCTGTGTTTATTTTGCCTCTTAAAATCTACTCCTTGGACACAAAGCTTTGGTATCAGCCCCTCTTTTTTTAAATACATCTTCCTTATTGTTCTTTCACTTTTTTTTTGTGGAGAAGGTAAGAAATCAGTCTCGAAATTTCACAACATTTAAGCAGGAGTCTGTTTACACTGTCCTTCCAAAACAGAAAGATTAATTTATGGATGACTTTCCTTAATGGAGTTCATTTTTATGTTTTGCTTGAAAGTCAGGTCACCTTGGTACCATGCCAAGGCATCAGGTCAGTAGTTGTTCAGTCCTGGTCTCCAAGAGTGCCATCCAGCACTGCTGGAGCTGCTGATGTCAAACCTAACTTCAGTGCAGTACCTGCCCATCCTGCTCTTGCCTTCAGTGGAGTGGCCTGGAAGTGTGTGGTGATTCAGAGGAATGGCTGAAGCTGTGGAGAGGTTTCCTGTTGAAAGAGCAGCCTCCTCAACACCTAGTCCTTAGCCATGCCTGCCCTTATATTCAGAAGGCAGTCATCAGCTTGAGAGCCCTACAGTATGACTCCATTGGAGCAGCTTCATTGAGTCATTCCTGGGATCAGTTGAGAGCTGATTACTGAGTGTTTCTACATCTTTCCTGGGGCTTGTCATCCAAGTGCATCTATTTTGGGAAAATCTCCTTTCATTCAAGCTTTTCTCTTGACAGTTTTTATACTTCATCTGCCACATGTTGACATTTATGTACGTTGTCCTAGCTTGGACTTTCTCCCGTTTTGAGCGTGAAGGAAGCTCTCAGTGTTCTGGGAGGTATTACTTAGGTGATGTAAAATATACCTGGGTTACCATTATATTTTTAAAATTTAGACATCAAGTATAAATATTAATTGCTGCACACTCATATTCAACCTTTGTTAAAGACCACGTAAACTTCAGTGATAAAAGTAGTGACGGGCTCACCACCTCATCTAAGAGACCTGCATCTGAGCTGTGGATTATCATGGGAGGACTGGAATTGTCATGCTGGGAGGACTTCACACCATTGCTGCTTTTTGGCCACTGCTTGAGGCCCACTTAGACCAGACACTGCAGACATCTGCTGCACTTATTTTTGGTAACTGAGATATTTTTTGTCTCTTCTTGAGAAGAGTTCCAGAGTGGAAACAACATTACAGTATTAAAGCAAGGAAAAAAGATACAGTTTATTATTATTAATAAAAATGTTTTTAAAGAAAATCCTTCATCATCAGTGTGAGAAGATGGTGCTTTACATACTCTGCACAATGCACACTAATTGTAGATGTCAGTAGAGGATACAGTTGTCTCTCCAACATGGCATTTCTGGGACCTCATCAAAATCATCCTGAAGACGTGCATCTTTCTCAGAGATTTTGTTTTTCTCAGATTTTTGTCTGATGAGGAATATGATTTTAGGTTATGTAGACATCAGCACACTAAACCAAATATATTTGTTTTCTAACCCAGTTTATTTTCTCGTCCACTGTCAAAATTACCCAAGATACTTAGGAAGTGTGTGCTGAAGCTTTCCCATGCAGATGTGCAATAACTACCTCTCTTGTTTTCAGCTCAGCTCTGTAGATGTACCAGTTGTGTAAATATTTTTGGTGCCAACGGACACAGTTCCCAGCTCTCGCTGTTCTCTTCCGGTGCTACTCCTCCAGCTGGCTGGTGTAGCTAGTTGGCAGGCTCTGGATGAACTGTCAGGAAGCCTGTCTGGGTTAAAATAATCTTTTAGGATAGGATCCTTTGTAACTTGGTTGAGTCGTTTGATCTGGTTCATGTGTAGTTTCACAATGGTAACTGAGCAACTGGAAGGAAGTGACCAGGGTAGGAGTGAGAGAGAAGAGATGGGATCTACTTAAGCCATTACTTCCACTGAAATAATTGGATGTGTAACTACCCCTTGAAAAATAAGGGTGATAGATCTGGGCATCAATCAGTGCTTGATCATTTAATGACATTAAGATAGAGGATATTTTGGTTTTCTTATATACATTCATTTAACATTGTTGTCCCAAAGTGTGTGGAAAAAAAAAATTCATTGCCTGGTAGGAGTGCTGTGCTGATTAGATGGTACTTTTTGCAATCGTAGTGTTATTGTGTATTTTAGTTATCAACAGCTTTCCAGCTAACAGTCTAAGATCTAATGATCTAAAATGCTGTACCATAGCCAAAGACACTTCTGTTCTCATCTTTGTTTATAATGTGCAAACATCAGTTGCTGTCCTCCATCCCTCCATCCCTCTGAAAGAATAGCTCCTGGGGAAAATGCTTACCTTTTTCTTACATAAGAGAGATTGTTTGAAGGTAAAGACCAAAGCTTTTTATCATACTTTTTGGTTATTTGCATCTGTGTTAGGATTAAATACGAGGGCATCTGCATCTAACTTATTTATAAAGTGATCTTTTGACAGACTGGCGATGTCTTTTTTTGTCCTATTTGGAATATACACTATGCATTGGCTGTTGAATTTGGTTTGGTTTAGACATATGTGAGAATTTGCACTTGCTCACTTGCTCTCTGTCTTTCTCTCTATGCATGATGGGCAGCACTAGATCTCTAGTTACACTGTGTCCATGTTACATGAGGGGTCTATTGACTGTGTTGTCTCTTTCAGGCACGTGGCCATGGAGGCTATGATTCTGATTTTAGTGATGAGGAGAATGGAGAGAAGTCTGTGCAGAAGACTAAAAGGTAATGTGGTGCAGAATTAACACTCTGCATTATGTTTTTTTTGTACAAATGGCCTCTTATGGTGTAGAGAAGGTTATGCTGTGATATGTAAACTCTGTTGTTAAAATGGTTTTTGAAAAAAAACACTCCCTGGTTCCTGCATTTCCTCTTGTCAAGCTTGCTAGAACATGTCATCTCCCAGGGGTGATTAAGATCCACTCTGCCATGTCTGTCTTGTGTCTATACACCCCTCATTTCTCAGAGCAGAGTGTGTAATTTTTCTGAGCATTAGTATCAGCTGCTGGGGTTTGGCTGCACTGTGATCCATCGGGGCACGTGGAGCTACTAAGAGAGGAAGGCAGAAAAGGCCAAGTGGCAGCAGGCTTTGTAGACATAAAACACCTACTTGGAGGAAGTGAAGAATTGATGCCACTTACTTATGATTTAATTTGTGATGAGATCTGGGAATTGGTGAATTGTGTTGTACTCAATCCTTGAAATGTAACTACACATCTCTTACTTTGCTCATACACATCTCACCTTTGCCAGTTCTCTCAGTGGTTTTCACAGTCAGTGACCTCTAACTTTGTAGTCTGATCTCATATTATGAAGATACTTATTTATGTGTTTATTTTGCTTTGGCACTGTAGTGCTTCGACAATTTCTGCACTGTACCGAACATTTTGCCTGCATGATGCAGTCAGTCTCTTCTCCCAAGTTACAAGTGATAGGACAAGAAGACACGTCCTCAAGTTGCAACAGGGGAGGTTTAGGTTGGATATTAGGAAAAACCTCTTCACTGAAGGTGGTTGTTAAGCATTGGAACAAGCTGCCCAGTGCAGTGGTGGAGTCACCATCCTTGAAGGTTTTTGAAAAACATATAGATGAGGTGTTGAGTGACATGGTTTACCATTGGGCTGGCAGTGTTATGTTAATGGGTGGACTCTATGATCTTAAAGGTCTTTTCCAACTGAAACAATTCTATGATTCTGTATATTTTTCTTACCTTTCCCTGTCTCTTTCTTTCTCTGTTATTGGACTTTATTTAAGAAGGCTTTCTGGAAACTTTCCTAGGAGTCTTTGCATATTTTCCTCTGTAGTAGAATTGAAAGAACGGGGTTTGTAGTGTCTGACTGCTTTATGGAAAAAAAAGTTTCATGTTTTAATCATTGGAATAATAGCAGGCATTGTGCTGTTCCATTTATTTTTTAAGTATGGCTGTTCTCCATTAAAACAGTGGCTGGTTTTGTTCAGTTCTCATTTGCTTTAAAGGGCCATTACACATCATACCATTGCACTTTCTAGGCGGAATATTAACTAACCATCAGGAGGCTTTCAAAAATGTCATCATTACCCTTGTTCTGGCACACTACTGCTGATTCCCAGTAGAGCTCTTATGTGGGTTCACTGTATATGTGTATATCCTTTTCTTGCTCTATGATGATATTTATTTTCACGTTAAGGAAAATAGTAGCCTTAAGTTTTCTCCACATTTCTGTTTTATGGAGTCTCCTTCTGGGAATTTTGTGCCTACAGATTCTTTTCAGCAAATGATTCTTTAGTTTCTAGAGTCCTATATTTCATGGCTTGAAATATAAAATCCGTGGCTTGCTTTCTGCAGGTTCTGACTTCCATTCTCTCTGCCAGCTGATAATTATGAAAAAGTCTTTTTTTCACCTTTATTGAGGAATGAGACTAAATATACCTTTTACTAGCTAAAGTACATCACTTTAATTTTTTATTACATTATTGAATTCTGAAAGTATTTTTAGCTGCCTGCTGACAAGTATGGTTCACAACACAGTACTTAAGTTTTAAGTTAATGATTCTTTTGATTGCATTATGAGAGGCAGAGCTATTTAATAAGGTGTTGAGACATAAGTATGAAAGAAGGGACAGGGTTACTAGCAGTCACTCTTACTAAGTGAACATACTGACTTTCCTGTTTCTGCTTGGATGTGTAGATGAGATTAATAGGGGGCTTTACATTAAGAGTGAAACTGAGGAATCTTCAGGTTTTTTTCATTGTGGTTCTTTAGTGGTAATATTGATTAAAATAAATATTACAAATTGCTGGTTTAGGCCATTCTCTTTAAATGGTAACTGTATGCAACTGCCTTTCCAGTTTTCTTGTGGAGATGAAGTAAAGTCTAAGCTGATATTGGTTCTGAAGTTTGTTTTTAGTCATGTAGACACTAGCAATAAAACAATTTTTGTTACTCAGTGCAAAGTTTAGCATATGGAAAATTCATTGCTTATGAAAAGTTCTTGACTAATTTTTCTTCCTTTTGCCCCCCACCTTTAGCATAAAGGAAGATGGCCTTCTTATAAAGCCATTCCAAAAAGCAAAACAAGGCACTGTGGTTCACAGACAATTTGCAGCTGAAGAATGGGACAGGTATCTTTTTATCTATTGTTTTTGTGAGGCATTTCTCCCTTAATGTAAATATAAATTTCACTCAAACGTGTGTGTTATTAACAGGGAAGAAGCAAGAAAAAGAAGATTCCACTTGATAGCGATGGACGCCGTATCCTTCTATTGCGTTTTTCAAGTTTGAAGATAGGGCACAACTTATCCATTATGGTGAAATAGTGGGATTTCTCAGCTACCACAGCACTTGACAGTGCAGCACCACATATTGAGTCTTTCTTTCTCTGCTCAGTTGGAGGATTTCCACATTCTTCCTCTATGCTTCTTTGTCCTGTTTGGGATGAAATTATTTTACAGTGGATTTTATATAGACTGGCATAAAGACACTTTGCTCTTTCAGTTGAGTTTATGCAGAACATAGTTCTATATGACTGCTACTATCTGTGGTCAACTACATTTCTACTGGAAGTTTAAGAATGCATTAGTTAATTCAAAAGTCTACTGAAGACAGCCTTGTCTCCAGTAATATCTTCTACCTATGTTCTAATGTAAGCCCATTTAGTGTCGTGTGAAGATTTACTTTAGTTTTTTTTAAATCTCTTAATCATATTTCATGCATTGTTTTAAACTATTTTTACAACTACTACCTTATTTAGATTACGACCTTCCTCCTCTTATTTAGTTCTCACCTGATGTAGTCACTACATATTTGAGTTCCTGGTTTGCTTAAATAGCTGTTCTTCAGCAGTAACAGTTAATAACTAATTCACTATGGAAAGACTAAAACCTGAAAACTCCAGTAAGCAGAAAGTGACTTCTAACCTGCTTAGAATAGGGTCAGGCACTACTTAAACTCTTGTTTGCCTGTAAAGGGAACATATCTCAATCAATCTCACTGGCACTGCAGATGGTCGTTAGCCACGGAAAAGCCCCTATATTCTGGAATCACTACAAAACTCACATTGTGCACAGACATCCATGAGCTTCTGGGAAGGTTTTTGAGTGGTTCCTGTTTAAAACATTTACTTTTAATCAATATTAACACCTAATAGTTCAAATGGCAGCACAAAATAGTATCTTGTGTTAAATGTCTTTAATTGTACCATTTAAACCTTCTGGGTTTGCTGCTCTGTTCCTTCTGTTTATGGTAGAAAGACAAAAAAGACACATACTGAAGTTAACTTTTTGAGGGACTTTGGAAAATAAGATTATTTCTCATTAAAACTTTAATGCATGCCAAAATAGTAGGTTGATACAAATTGTTCACACTGCAGTAGTTGTGAGGGTATGTACTAGAAGATAATGTATTTTCTAATCTGCTGCTTCAGAAACACCATACAAGTTAATTGAAAATATTTTAAATTACCCATATATGTTTTCCTTTGCAAAAATACTTTTCTGCATAAGTAATTATGTATTTTTCTCAAATTATGGTACAAAATGTGTTTCTGAGGCCAAAGTGTTCTAAAAAAAGTGTTACATATTTGCCTGTGATTTTCATCTCCAGACTAAAACACATAACTTTTATTTGTATGTTGGTGGTAAAATGAATAAATTGTTTCATTTTAGTAGCCAGACTACTACTATAATAGAAAAATATAAACCTCTTTTAAACCAAAACTGCATACTGAGAAGCTGTTGTCTACTTTACAGCTGAAAAAATAAGCCCAGGTTCTGTGTATATGTGTACAGAGCATCTTTGAGAGAGCAAGATGATTTTATTAAGGTCTGGAAGCTGAATGAGATTATAAAGGTGAAGTTGCTTTGAATTGACGTGTTTGGAAAGTAGCTTTTATGAGAGGTTAGTAAGTAAAAATTGCTAATTAATTCCTTTTTTTCTGGAAATTACTGAACTGTTTCTGAGAAAAAAATTATTTCTGTTAAGTATATAAAAAGTGGGTTGTTCATGTTTTTTTTTTAAACTATGGTAAAATAAAAGAAGATAAATTCTGAAAGAATCCTTAATCACCTTATTCAGTATGAAAGGCATAAAAAGTTTGTGCATGATTATATTTTATACTATGGTGGCAAAATAGAGGATTTCCGGCGTTCTGGGTAAGAACCATTAGCAGTCTTTCTTCTCATACCCCCAAACTCCCCTCTTCCATAAAGCAGTTAAATATATATTATAGCACAGTGGGGAAAGGGGGATGTGGCTTTGTATCAAATTACTAATTCTTTAGGTCACAAATAGTAACTATAGTCATTGTAAATATCCAAAACACAGAATGCTTTGTTTTATTTTGCACCATTATTTTTATTTAAGAACTTACCATAAGGCGAATTATTCTCATTTTATTACATAAAAAGAAAGATGACAGGTGAGTGTTAATTGAGGCTACACTGAGAAATACCTGTCAGTACCTTCAAAATAACAATCTGAAGTTCTGGTGAAAGATGCAGAATTTCTATCCGTTGTCCAGAATAATGATAACCTTCTATAGAGCTATCTAGAACAGCCTTCTAACATTACTCTCTTCAATAAAAAGTATATTTTCAGACAGGATCAAGTAATCCACAGTTTCAGGGGCCATTTTCCACTGTGAAGTTTTCGCTTGGGAAAAGATACACAAGGGAATACATTTTCTGATGGTTTTATTCCATAGCAGTATGAGGTGAAGGAGAGATCACAACTATGATAAACTGATGTTTGCAGAATCATTACTTGACTGTCTTTTCATTTTAACGTTACATCATACTAAAAAAAAATGTGTCCTTTTATAGGGTGAATGACAAGACAGATCTTGATGTTATTAGAGAAAACCATAAATTCCTGTGGCATGAAGAGGATGAAGCAGACATGAATTGGTACCTGGAACTCTTTTCAGATCACGTGTTATTTTTAGATCACTTGCACTAAATTTGTGGTGTCCCCTACTAATTTGGAATTACTGTGCATACTTAGTTATCATTCTTTGATCTATAATGCATTTAAAAATGAAAGGCCTTTAGGAGGTCTTTCATATTGTGATATCACTCAGTGGCCAAATGAATTGATGACAGAAAGAGCTAAGAAATACTTTTGTGTTCTCCAAAATCCAAATGATTGTTCTGAAAGGAAGCCTAATTGGAAAAGATGCAATTTAATTTGTGCTGTAGATATATTTTAGATGTATTTTTCCAGTTTGATGTAAATTACCCCTTAGCTCAATTAGTGTATTTCTGTTACATTTCTAGCTCTGCAACTTCTGTTCTTCAGATGAAACAACATGTCTTTGTCTTGCTAGTGCTATTACAATGTAAAATTAATTGTATTATGTTCCGTAGTTAATAAAAAATAATACCTTTTGTTATAGGGAGAAGAGGCTTGCAAAGAAGTATTATGATAAATTGTTCAAAGAATACTGTATAGCAGATCTAAGCAGATATAAAGAGAATAAGGTACGTTTCAATATTGGAAATCATCTTTAAGTGTGTCCTTTTTAAAAAAAATGCCTTATGATTGTGGATATATTGTGGAACGAGGACGTTATTACTCCTCCCCTAGAAAGACAGTTGTGAGAACTTGTAAAGTTATTTAATGAGTAGCAGCAGTTTCAATCCAAGCACTGTCACTGCCCTAAAAATGTGCTTCTGTGGAAATAGGAGCACTTCTGTCAGATGGTGTTTTGTGAAGAGGTACATTGTGTATAAGACAGGCAGAAAATGTAGAGAGAAAGCTAGAGAAGTTTGTGTGGAGAGAAGCACTAGATGAAGCCTGAAAAAGCCCTGGGAATGTTACTGTTTGTTTGTTTTGTAAGAGTCTAAAAAGAGTTTTGTACTTGAATACTGCCAGAAACAATTAGGGAAATGTCTGTTCTAAAGCCACTACTTTTGCTGGGTGTTCTTTTCTGTTTATGGAAATAGATTTGTGTGTTCCTTGTAAATAAATAGAATTTTTTAAGAGAACCAGCCCAATTCCTGTTCTTCTTCTTAACTGGAACACCCTTTCTTGTTTCCAAGTTTTTGACTGACTGAGGTCATAGCCAAAAAGAATACATTAATTTTTTGTTGTTATTTTTCAAAGACTGTTGCTGAACTTAAATGTGTGTTAGTGCTGTTAGCACATAGTAGCAACTGAGCCCTGCAAGCAGTGTCTGCAAGTTCTTTCAGACTACAGTACTGAAAATTACACTCACTGGTAAATATTTGCAAGGACTGGGTGTAAACTCTAATATTAAGCAGAGAAGATGACAACCTTCTAAAGAGGATGGGAACAGAAAAAGGCAAAAAATAAATTCAAATTAATAAAAAGTAAATTGCTGAGGATTTCTTCCCTCCATTTTTTTAAGTAAACTTTTTATTTTCCTGTAGCAGTTTAACGTCCTGCAGTTTCTGCTCTCCGCTGTCTCAACTGATTTTCCCTTGAGCATGGTTACATATTTTTTTTCTTTTACTACTGTGCCAAGTTTCCATATGTTTGCAATCTTTTGTGGGAAACTTCTGCCCCACTTTCCTTTTTTGTGTATGTGTGTTGTGTGAACAGTGTTTCCCTGTCAGACTTCAAGTGTGGCTGTCCTAACTTTCAGGTCACTGTGAATTCCTATTTATGTTCATAAGTCATTACCTATGTTTTTGGAAATGCCATGTCAGCATAAATGCTGTATCATGTAATTTGTTCTCTTAGGTTATGCTTTCTGTTTTCAGAACCATTCTGAGAGTCCTTCTTTAGAAAAAAATTATATTTTTCTCAATTATTGATCTATTCATGCCCATGTTTGGTCAGGAGGATGTCAAAACAGTTTTTTTTCTTGGAAGTCTGATGTAGACTCCTGATCCCATTCAGACCAATGGAATGTACTCTGTGCTTGCAGACTTTTTCTGCCTTTGCTCTTTTTCTGGGTATCCAGAAACTGGGAGCTGGATATCTTCAGCCCCTCATGCTTTTTATTTTGCAGTATTGGTGCTATGAGAGGTGGGTAACCAGCCAGCCTTTCATATGGTAGTTGGTGATGCTTTATATGACGATGTTTCATCTTGATATAAGAAGGAATTGTTTTTTACAATGAGAACATTAATTCACTGGAACAACCTCCTCAGTGACATGATAGAGTCCCCATCACTTGAGGTTTTCAAAATGTGATTGCGCAGGGTGCTAGATAATATCATCTAGGCTCCCTTTCCACAAATGGTTGGACTAGCTGATCTTTTGAGGTCCCTTCCAACCTGGGATCTTCTATGATTCTATGATTTTACTTTGTGTTAGGTGGTGTCAAAGTTGCAGATCAGTTTTCTGTGATGTTTTTAGTATAACTATAGGAGAGATTGAGACTTACACGTACATACTCGTCTGTCTTTTCACAACTGTGATTATTTTGCTACTATCAAAAATCTACCCAGCTAATTCTTCTAAAGACCTCTGCGTAGAGATTGGAGCCCAGATCTCATTTGAAACTTTTCTTCTGAGAAACAAACACTGTTGTTCTAAGTAGTGGGTAATGATAATGACAAGTTTCATGGGAGAGGTTCTTCTGAGTTCTGAAAAACTGCAGAGCACTTTGTCAGATAAAACAGTAAGAAGCCCCAGGACATGGACTCCTGAGGCCACAGCCACACTGCAGCTGCTGGTTCAGATTGTTTCACTCACATGTGTGCATGTATACACACATCCATGCACACAGAGGTGGCTCAGGCTCTCCTAGTCCCATAGCAGCTCCCCCTCTCATCCTTAAAGATACACAGGTGCTGTCACACCCAGAGCTGGCTGGTGAAGACCCATTCACTCTTCTTGCTCCCAGGAAACTTCACCTGGCTGATGGCTCACCCAGCTTGGTCTTCACTAGTGCTCACACACTCACTTGGATACCTGCACTCACCTCAGCTGCTGGCACGGCCGGCAGAGGCAACCCTGTGACCCACAATTCCACTTCTCTTGGTATGGTTAGGCCATAGAAAATTTTCCTTCTCTTGTAATGAGAAATGTCAAAGTGACCTTCTGGTGTGAGGCCGCTTACAGACACCGGAAGCGTGTGCTCTGACAGCTCTTGCTTGTGGTGGGTCTGTCACTCCTTACGTTTTCCCTGGATCAGAATTTTTTAGGTCACGGTTGTCTTTGAACTTTCAGTGCATGTTGTCTGCAAGCTTTGAGGTTGATAAATGACCGTCTGTGGTTTAGTTCTGTCAGTTTTGCAGTGCGGTAGGGGGGGAGTGCTCTGCGTGCAAGGTTTGGTTGATATGCATTGGACTAGAAATGCTCTCTTTATTGTCTTATTTTCCTTGGAAAGTTCTTGCTGTCTCTGTGCTTTGTTTTGTAGCTTAACAGATTGGAAATGTCTCCCTTTTGCAAAGAAATGAAATCTGTCTGACACCTGGTCATTAAACAGAATATATTTTATTCTTTTGTTTTTATTTCCAGATCATTTTCAGATTTTTAGGCCAACTTGTCTTCCACTTTGTAATGTTAATATATTCACTTTTGACATTGTTTTTTAGCACTGAGACTTTCCTGTGAAATAAAAATATTTAAAATATCTATGATATTTTTCCACAGTATTGTCTAAATGCATACATTTCTTTTTCTCCAAAAGAAGTGACTGTGGACATGTTATTTGTTGCTGCAGGCAATGCATATTACACAAGCAGTCTGTATTTTATTTGGGAATTTTATTGTTTATTAATATTAAACCGTCTTTCACATTTTTAAAACCATCGTTTCTTACTGAGTTAGCCGTTTGATGCTCTTGTAAACATCTGTTTTGGAGTTGTTCTTACTTGGCCTGGTCTGCCTTGTAGAAATAGCTCATTTAGGATCTTGTTGAACTCATTTAACAAAGAAGGTGAGGTGGAGTAAATGCTGTCTGCTGACCATGTTTTTGCATTCTTTAATATTGCAGGCTGAATATTCAAGAACCTACCCTAATTTTTAATTTTCTCACAGAGCTTAATCTATTAATGATATTTTAGCTTAGCTAGAGGAATTCAGTTTTTTTTAGTTTTTGTTTCTTCTTCTTAGCCTTGGTCACTTTGTCATTTTACACTAGTAGGTGGAAGAATGATTGGCAAATATGAATGCGGATGAAGACAACTTTTGTCCTAGAGGTGCTATAGGTGGTTCTGGTGCCCTTCTTTATTTTCTTTTGTTTACTTTTCTTTATATCATTACAGAAATAATCTCTGAGGGTATGATCCAATTTATATTTTACTGAGTCAAGTTTGGATTGTGAAGGAAATCTTGTATAAAAGTCTACTTCAGTAGCAAAAGTGAGCATGGGTAACGTGGTGATTGGTGAAGCAGCAGATGGACTGTGAAAAAGCAAACACTCGGATAAGGTCGAATTGTTTTTTGCTCTTTATTGCTAGCAGCACATGTGCAAAATTGGCTCCAAAATACTGTTGACATTTAATCGTAAACTTGCAGTATTTTTCAATTACGTCACAGCCTTTCAGAATTAGAATACCCTGAAAAATAACAAATATCCATTAAAAGAGCAAAACCCATTACAGTCACTCTTCCATCGACTGGTTTCCATCAGGAATGCTGCGTTTACAGATGTATCTTATCATCTGTTTTCATGGAACTGTTCAGCACAGGTCTCATTTTTTACAACTGATTAGTTTTTGCTTGGCTGAAGTGTGAGTGGTATAATGGTACTTCAGACCACGCTGCAGGTTTTTGGAGCAGGCCAAGCACAACCTGATCCAGCCTTAGCAGACTGTAATCATACAGGGAAGCTGACCTTCTCCTGTGATTTTTTTTTTCACCGTTGAAACCAGTGTGTGTGAAAATATTGTGTATGTCCTATTATCAATTAAAAAATTACTGAACTGATTTGAAGAGGCAAATATTTTGTGGGTGTACAAATATTTAGTTTTCTTAGGCATCTTCTATGTAATGTGTTGACTTGGGGAAAATCAGTGCCAACAAAACGTTGGTTACTGATGTCTTCTCATTTTTTTTCAACACTGTTATTAAGGTGCAAAGCATTTATGAGTATGGCACGTTCGTAAAAGCCACAGCTTTTGTTTCCCTATTTCTTCTGATTTTCTTTGAACCATATACCACTTCATGCATGAGAACTCCATGCTGTTGCCCTTGCGATAAAGAATTATTCTGGTTTATTTAAAAAATCGACATTAAAGACCACAGCAATAGGTATCTATACTTCCCTACAGTATTTAAAATTAGATTTAAAACATCAAAAATCATTCCACTATATTACAGAATTTATGCCACTGCATCTACAAAACGCACATTTATGTGAGTTCAGTCTATGAGTGCACCAACAGAAGGTTCATATTCCAAAAGAGGCTTTGGAACTCAAGTGCCAAAGATGGGCTTTGGAGCTATTTTTGTACCTCTTTGATTTTCATAACTCTTCCTCCCTCTCTTCCCTCTCCATCTTTTAACATGAAGTTCAGAGTCTTCTGTGCTTTGCTTACAGAGCAGCCATTATATCTTATTGTCATCCTGTGTTCAGGAATTTTAAATGAAAATACAGGGTAGCCTTTTTTTTTTGGAGCAGTTGTATGACTCTTAGTTTTATACCCTCTTTGTACTTGTTTGAGAAATGAAATTGTTTTTCCCAGGTTGTTCTTACTCCCATATTCAATCTTTTCACTAGGCTACTTACCATTTTGAGAATATGAAATAGATCCTATTGGAAAACAAAAATAGTAGATGAGTTATCTGCATATTAAGTTTGTAGGCAATGTAAGGAGAAATACAACTTAGTTGCTGGTTTGTTTGGTTTTTCTTAGTCTTTAGGGTGCATGAGGTGATCCATTTGATCTGTGCTAATATGACTTTCCAGTATTCCACTGGTCTTGTCATTTTTTAGTGTGGACAAACTTGCAATGCAGTTATGTCGTGAAGTCAGTCTGTCCTAATTTCCTATTTGTTTGTCTGCTGTGAAGCCATTTAGAAAGTTGCTGTTCAGTAACAAACATCATTTACTGGAACTTAATTGCATGTGCAAGGTGGAATCCTTCCAGTGAGCAGAGAGATATTTATAATTAACAGAGAAAGAAACTAAATTTTACTCAACGGAATTGAATGGATGAACCATATGCAGAACATCAGTCAACTGAAATTATTCTTTACATTACTGAGGAAGTTAACAACTTACTTCTGGTTCTTATCTTAACAGTTTGGATTTCGATGGCGACATGAGAAAGAAGTAATTTCAGGAAAAGGTAATGCTGGCTTTCATTTTGTGTTAAATTTCTCTTTGATGCTTTTCTTGCTGCATTTTGACATCATTTTGTTGGACAGTATTTGACAATACCAGTAAGTTTATCAGATAAACCTAACTTTCCTAGGTTATGCCACATAGCTCTAGAGTGCATGCTGATTTGCATATATTAAAAGAGAACATTTATTTTCACAAGGTCAGATTTGTAATGAACACCAACATAATGTATTTGGTAATGTAGAATTTCATGGGTGTGTTTTTAGCTGCTTTTCTCCGGTAGTTCTGTGTTACCTCATTGATCTTTGATACCTTTAATGAAGGCTCAGTAGTTTTCCTCAGGAAAATAATTTTCTTAACAGTTTCTCCAGTGCTGCTTTGTAAAATGCTAACTTTTTAATTAAAGTTCCATGTGTGATGTATGTTTTAGGCTCAGTTGATTTTGAAAGCTTCAGTGGGATTCAATTGTCATGTCTGATGAACCTGTTTCTAAATCTCTAGGTTACTCTGGTTGCTATTCTTCTGCTTTCATGAATCCTTACTGATGTGTTATTGGGTCTTTGCATAGTGGTCCCCATTCCATGGCCTAGGCACGTGGACTGTTTCAAGTGGCTGAACAAGAAAGAAAATCATGTGAATGTATTGCTGTTCCTGTGGTTATACACGTGTACAGTTCTCAGAAGTCATGCATGCACATGCCAAAAAATTGCACAGAGTGATACTATTGATCAGAACAGTTCTGTAAAATTATAGTATATTACAAGAAGTTAGAAATACACTTGCATTTTGGAAAAAAAAGTATAATTTCACAGGAGGAAATATGAACATTAATGGTGGGGCGTTTTAAGGTATGAAGATTAAAGCTCCTAAAGGTAGTTGTAGTCATATGTTGCATTCAGCACTACAGATTATGTAAACATAGTTAGATTTTATATAGTAATATGTTTTATAACTCATTATGAAATAATATTATATATCATATGAAAGCATATGATAACATGCTTTTATAATATAATGGAAATTAAATGATAAATGAGTAATTCATGAACAGTTAAGTCTTTGTAGGGGGAAAGAATTTAAAGCTGCATTGTGCTTTTAGTATTTGGTACTCCACATTTTAAAATGTGGCAGAAAGTGCAGAATTCCTGGCAGTGCTGGGTTAACGGTTGGACCTGATTAAGTTGAAGGTCTCTTCCAACCAAAAGGATTCTATGATAATTCCATGTTTTAAGCTTTTAAATGAAATCCTAGTGTACAGCTGGAACATAAGAATGGAGAAATAGCGCCTCTCACCACTAAGGGGCGCAGGAATTCAACCTTCTCTATTGGACACCTTTTTCAAGTGCAGTTTCGTACGATCATTTGAAAAAAGGCCTGAGTCTATAATGTCTTTCTTTTGCTATTTCAAAGTATAAATCAGTTATAAAAATTGTTTTGATTAAACGTAATAAAGCATTAATGACTACCTATCTGCTAATTCACATAAAAAGGTGAAAGCATGTGAAAGTGCAGATTCAGGCTGGACATGAGGAAGAAGTTCTTCACCATGAGAGTGGTGAGACCCTGGAATGGGTTGCCCAGGGAGGTGGTTGAGGCCCCATCCCTGGGGGTCTTTAAGGCCAGGCTGGCTGAGGGGCAGGGGAGCCTGATCTAGTGGGAGGTGTCCCTGCTCATGGCAGAGGGGTTGGAACTGGGTGACCCTTGTGGTCCCTTCCAGCCCTGACAGATTCTGATCTGTTTTAGCAGAGGACTTTAGAGCCCTAATGGCTCAGTGGTTGGACTTGATGATCTTGAAGATCCCTTTCAACCTAAAGGATTCTATGATTCTATGTGCTTATTTTAGCTGTTACAGAAATGGTCACGAGAACCACTGCTGGTGGACTGTGCTGTGGTTTGGGATATGTTAAGAGGGGAACATAGGAATGGATTATTTGTATTTGGTTGCTTTGTTTTCAGTGTTTGTCTTTGGAAGAATATGGAGGAGAAGGGTAAATATGAATAAAAGGAGAGGTATCACGTGTATTACTGGTTGTAAATGCCAGATAATTTCTTTCTCTTCTTTTATTTTCCACTCCAGTCTTTTGTCATAGAGGTTTTGAAAGTAGGTTGTATTGGAGATTGCTTTACTATTTCCTTAAATGTAAAATGTAGCCTTAATGGCAGTTCAGAACATTGCCAGTTTCAATAAATGATTCCACAAAATATGCATTTTTCTGAATCAAAATCTCAAGATAGAAACCCTACTTCAGATTTTATAAGTGAGTGAATGGAAGGCACATGAGTTAGTTGGTCTGAAAATAAATCCTTAAAATTAAGAACTTTTAAGCTATTTAAAAAATATACTTGATATGCATTCCCAGTACTTTTTTTCCTACTTCCAAAGCATGATTGGTAAGGTATGGCATAAAATGTTAAGATAAAAGGTATTCTAGGAAAAAGGTGATAGTGATAATTTTTTTTCTGTAGGAGAACCAGTAAAAATTTAATTGGGTAGAGATGAAGTAGGACATTTTCAGCTATACGCAGAAAGAGCATAACAATGTGTGGTTTATTTGCTGTTTTCTACTTATTTGTAGATTAGATAGTAAAATACTCAAACTGGACATATTATTTGGCCAAATAGGGTTTAATACCTGTAAATTGATCTACTGTACATTTTTTCACTATTTCATTGAACTGGTGTTTCACTTTTAGCATAGTAGTGTCTTTCTTAGCCTATTTTTTTTATATGCATAAATACCCATATAATATGCTTTACTTTATTTAAACAAATGTTCTTCCAAACCTGTTTCCATTCTTTTTTTTTTTCCAGTAATTTCCTCCATGGAAATCAGGGACCATGTATCCATGTACCAATCTGACACATCTGAGTTCTGATCAAAATGCATTAAAATCAGTCCTTTGACTCTAGATTTCCTTAGTGTATTTAATTTTCAGTACGTCATTCAGCCTGTTATTTAAGGTGTATTTTTCATCTATTCTGCTCATCTAAAAGAAGCAGAAGGTGCTAATTGTTTTTGAAAGCACACGTTTAACAGCCAGATCATAGGAGTTATAATTCTGAACATGAATGCCATAATTTCTCTGCAGCTCATAGCAAAGTGACAAAACTTAAGATAGAAATGGAATTTGGAATTTTGATCTTTTTTTTTTTTTTTTTTTCTGATTAAATTAAGTAACTGTCCACTTGGGACGCTGGTTTCTGTGTCTTCCCTTCTGGGACATCCAACTGTGGGAAAAGTCGTGTTTCAAGTACTGAATAATCTGGTCTGTAGTTCCCTTTGATTAGAGGTCTCCATATACACAATGGGGATTGCAGTGGTCTCTTACTTTGCAAAAATATGGATTTTAATGCTTTTATGACATTCAGATATACTGGAATGATAAATACTACTGAAAAAGCCTTCAGAAAGAGGGGAATTCTGTAATCATGTCAAGGCTTGAATATTTGTTATAGAGGTTGCAGTGTGAAAGGAGGGTAAGAAAGACTTGGCTGTTCATACACATGTATGGCGTCGAATGTGGATCTAGCAAAAAAATACCCCACCATGATTTCAAATATTTAGATGATCATAAATGCAAGTAAATGTGTAAAGGCACAGAATTATAGTGGTTTACATGTTTTGTTTTACTTAAGAATTCATTAGTTGCCTTAGGAATCAGAAGCTATTTGTCCAGCTATACTCTTGTGAACATACCCATTTTCATGTCCAAAATGCAGAGTATCCAAAATAGCTGTTACATGATGTAAAGAGCAGCTAATCATAAATAAAACTGATGTCTCTCTCTTTTCTTTCTGCCTCTTTTTCTTGGTTTGTTTTGGGGCTTTTTTTCAGAAGATGTGAAGTAAACAGAGTCTGGCTATGTTCGCGGGAGTTCTATATAGTATAAATTTTTCCTTGTAGATTTTTATCTCTCTGTAACAGATATAAATTATTCTCAATGACACAGGGTACTGATAGCCATTCCTTACATAGAGTTGAGCATATTTACTGTATATTAATTTGAAACTTCATTTTTTTAATGGGAGTCCAAGGGGTTTTTTTTGTGTTCAACTGTTAGCATTGTGAGTGGTTTTACACTGCAGAAGTGAAATATCTGAGGACAGTGCCAATCCATTAGTTAGCAGCTTAAGCAGAATATTCTGAGGTTAATCGTTCACCAGCAGTCCTGGTTGTGAGCCTATTAGTACACATCCCTACTGCCAGCTCTCCATACAAATCAGTCTTCTGCAGAGGGAATATATGTATCATTATTACTGTGATACTGGGAACCCAGCGGTGTAAACAACATTGATTATGTGCAGATTGTTTTAAAATTAGTGTTGCATTTAACATCAGAAACCAAAGGAAGCTTTTAAAGCTACCACAATGTTTCTGGTGGAATTGGATTTCCTTTTCTTAAAAGTATTTATGGGAAGTCATTAGAATGCAGATTTTATGTCCAGTATATTAGGTAAACTAATAAGGTAATAAGAACATGGGCATCTTAATTTTGCACATACATGGTACTTTGAATAATTGGATATCATTAAAGATGAATGTCTGAATCACACCTTCTGATCCATCTGCCTCTGCTAAGTAAGTAATTATTTTAAAGTATAGAATGTATCTGAGTGATATTAATTTCTTCAGAGTCCAGTATTATGCTTATTATTTCATAACATATGAGTTCATCTATACATTATAGGACATAGTTTAAGTTATGTTCTTTCTTTGCAGGTAAGTAATATTAGACAAGTATGATTGCTTTTGTCATTATCTGTTATTGTTTCTTTAGTTTAGGTGTGGAAAAGAAAACGCAAAAACTGATCAAAACTGGACATATCAACCCTGAAGCTATGCATGTTAATCATTGAACCACAATTGCTGGTTTTGATCTCTTTAAAGGTCAGTTTTCCTGTGGAAATAAGCACTGTGATGAGAAAGAAGGCCTGAAGAGCTGGGAGGTGAATTTTGGTTACATTGAACATGGAGAAAAGAGGAATGCACTTGTGAAATTGAGTGAGTCAACCCTTCAAGAATATGTACACTGAAAAGAAGACAAATAATATTCTGTTTTAAAAGCTATCAAGTGAGACCCAGTGATAATGATATTCATGGAAAATGCTGAATAGGTGATAATTTTGTTAAATTAATTACAGGTAGTATAGATTTAGAGAACAACTATTATCATATATGAGTGCTTCATGCCATATAACCGGCAGTGTCATAAAATTACAATAACTGTTTATAAGCAGTTTTGTGTAATCTGGTTTTAACAGACAATACTGCATTGCAAGGAGGGTTTCATCATTGTCATTGCTTAATCAGTGACGTGGCTTAGGGATCTTTAGGGCATTGGACCAGTCAACTTCTTGCACACCTTCAGCTCTACTAATTTTATTTTTAATACTTAGGTTTTCTTACAAAAATTCTAACGTCAATTAAATCACTTCCAATCGTCTCTCTTGAGTGAGATTTTCTTATGCAATATGGTGTCTATTTTGATACGTTCATCAGATAATTAAACTTAACCACAGTTTACACAGTCACTTTGTATAAAACAAACTAGTGGTGTTTTTTTTTCTTTTGTGCATAATATGCTCCATGTGCCACCCCTTGGTCTCTGGCAAAGCTATAAGAGACTTACAGGTCTTCAGTATAATTGTTGAACAATTTGATCTGTCCACAGAGATCCATAAAATGGCTATCTGTATGTGATAAGCATTTAATAATTTTTCATGAAGAGCTGCCAGTGCTAAATCTGTGCTTTCTCCAGGTTTAGTAAAAGCTGGGTTTGTACTGAAGACTTCAATGGTAGTATTTTTCTCAACCATGGCTGCAATTACACTGTAACTTTTGTTTTGAAGCAAAAGATACTGAAATTGGAAGAGAATGTTCCATCTAGTTTTACGCATGTATTAGTAAGTTTTGTCAATTACACATATCAAATACATGTGTGTGATGTTCTCATTCTCTCTTTTTCAGGACTATGTCCAGAATGTTCCTACAAATTAAACTTTCATCACAGGTATGAATGGGGGCTGAATATGGGAGCTGAATTATTCATAGATTACAGTTACGATGAACAAAAAATGGGGGGAAGACTTCAGCTGGTTGATTAGGAACTTCAGTTACCTGAAATAGGTTCTGTCCTGGAGTTCTTACAAACTCACTGGCTTGACACTGTTCAGAATTAGATATCGTGCTAGTGAAAGTACAAAACCCCTCAGACTGGAAGAATGCTGTCCCACACCCACAAAAATTTCTTTTGTTTAATTTCAGCCCAGTGATTATTTTTCTTCTCCAAAGATTTATGGAAAACACTTTTTAATTTTTCTCCTTGCTGTGTTTAAGAGCTGAAATGCTTTTCCTTTTCTTAAAAATAGTGATTTTAAGTGTAAGTCAAGTGACTGTGCTTTGAAATTTTGAAATGGAGTATTTTTCCTCTTTGAGAGTTGCTTATTAGTACTTACACAATTCTTATACAATACATTAACACATACATAAGCAACACTGAAAATAAAATATATGGGTTATTAGTCTGCAGCAGGTTCTTAGCCTTCAGATCCTTCCACCTCAGGTTTTGTCACCCTCAAATACACAAATGTATTTTAAAACCTGTGTTTTTCTCATTACATAATTACAAATTTGTTTGCTGAAAGAAAAAATAAGATTTCAGTATAAGTAAGAATTTTGTTATAAATTTACTTCTTTCTGTATTTGATCTTTGATTGACAATTCATTGTTTTTGTGCCTGCGTCAGTGTAATTTTCCTGTCCTTTGTCTTTAGCTATAGTGCTCTAGTGTTTCTATAGCACTTTCCACCAAATTTTTTTTTCCCAGTTTAATTAGTGCTAGATTTCAGAAGAGAATACAACTGTTTGACTGCATTAAATACTTTGATCTACTGTTGCTTGAGGAGTACATATAACAGAGGTGTACATTCATGTTTGTTTTTTTTTTTTAAAGGAGGAAAGAAGTCAAGGCACGGAAGAAAAGAGGCACATCTGTACGGAACTCTAAAGAGCCAAAAATTAAGAAGACGAAATTGTCATGTTCAGCAAAAAATAAGTCCAAAAAAAAGATCCATAAAGGTAAATTTACATTTTAGACCTTCAAATTTTAATATTCAAATACGTTAGTTAAATCTCAGTTCTGCTGTAGCTACATATGTATAGATGTAGATGTTTAATTGCATATAAATATAGACACATAACTATCTTGATTGTGTAACACAGGCAGTCAAAAATAAATTTCTTAGGTAAAATTTTCTAGGTGCACAAAAAAAGATAAATGAAGATAAATTTTGTATATTTTACAGAGAGGGATAGCCTTTTGAAAAATATACACTGCAAGGAAAATTCGTCCTAAAGTTGGACATTGCATACCAGAAAGGCTTGTGAAGTATTTAATTCCTTGAGGCTTTGGAGTTGAAAGCCTTTTGGAAATGTTAGATAACCTTTTTACACCAGAGATCTCGGGATAACATAGTTGAGCTCAAAGGGATGACCTTTGAGCATATGCAAAAAAAATCTTTCTACTTCAGTATTTGCTTGCTTTCTTTGTGTGGTGTTTGTGTGCATGTGAGCATGTTTATATGTAACATATTGTGATAGAAATATCTTTGTAAACAATGTAAGATAATGGTAAAATCAAATAAGCTTACTATTTTTTAAACGGTGTTTCTTTTCAGATGAGGCTTCCTCGGAAGATTCAGATAATTCTGATAAAGGTAGGGTATTTGAATATCATCTGCATTTTATGTTTTTGTAGTAAGGTGTATTGTTTCATCGTCATTTGGCATTGGTCTTTGTTTCATTTGCTGGCAATTTTAATATTTTATAAGATTATAAGAATGCTACATGAAACAAGCAGAGATATAAAGCATCAAAATAATTATTTACAATGTGAGAAAAACTGTAAGGAGTTTTAAGAAGGATACCTTTTAAGTTTAAGTAAGGATAAAACTGTGGGCAGATAACAGAATGGAAATAATAAAAAAAAAGGATAGATCAGGTTTTTCCAGAAAAGAGTAGAGGGTGCAAAATCAGGAACATTATTAATAATTGCATGTGTCCAGATATGCAGTTATGTGCTGTGTAATATGTGTTGTATAAATAAAATACTTTTCTGATATAATAACTACTACACTTCATTTCAGGGACTGATACTAATATATACTCTACTAAAAAAAAAAATACACTTTAAATGAGTCCTAGATATTAAGTATTTTCTAGCTACCACATGTAGTACCACAGTGACCTACTTGTTGCAGGTGGATGCACTCAGTCTCAGTGACTCCTTAGGCAGTGGTTGTCTCTGTATCTCAGTAATGCCAGTCTCCAGTTTAATTTTTGATTAAACCAGCTCTGTTCTCATTATGGCAATTCTTGCTATCCAGAAGGGGTTGAGTGTTTCTACTGGTTGCTCTGCTGTGCTGTACATTTTTAGGAATGTCCTCAGCACCTATGTTTTCTCAGCTAGATACAGGAAGACCTGAAGCAGTTTACCTACGAATCAGACCATGGCCCAAGTCTGTTTTGTCAGAAAAGTTCTATTAGGAGATTGGGGCTTTTAGGACAGAGGATATTTCTGATAACGAAGTTTTTATTGGTTTACACTCCTTCTGTATACTTAACAAAACAGGCTGTAATCTGCGTTTTCCAAAAATTTCACTGATAAGTTACAACCAATAAAAGTTGTCATGCAAATAGAAGTAATTAATTTATTTACTATCATGAGTTGAAACTGTATTGTAATTCTGGATTTGTGATTATAAATCCTTAATTTTAGGAGCAAAGTGCTACGCTGCTGTTATGTCAAGATCAGTGTTTTGACATGATTGTTGTTATATTTGGCCAAAATACTGGTTCATGATATCCAGGAGTCTTTTTGATGCTGTATGGAATTGGAAAATGTTTTTGTTATTATTTTATGCAAAGTAAATGTTCTTTTTATTCTTACAGTTACAATTTAGTGTTGCTCCTAGAATTATGGCATCATCTAAATTAAAAATAAAGATAAATTCTTTTAAAATTAGTTTCATAAGCACTTTAAATTTTTTAACAGATTCAGATAACAGCAATGCACAAGATGGTCCTTCAGATGCTGACTTTTGGAAAGGTCCTCTGCAAGAACCAGATGAAAAATCACGGTTAGTTTTATCTAGTGAACTTGCAGCTAGTAAAATATTGTATGTCCATTCAGAACTGAAAAGGCTGAGATTTTTTCTTGGGTGTTTTAATGAATACTCTGAGATTTAATATTGTCAGATCTCTGTCCATGTAGTGAATCTACGTATTTTTTAAAGAGGAGGCATATACAGCACTGGAGGAGAAACCTTTGTCAGGCTAATACCATGCCACTGCTGTCTTATCCTTACTGTACTGTTAACTGTCTTGGAATCTAAGTCCTAGGAGTCAATTCACTGCTGTTGCTTTGCACAGGAGGGGAAATGCAAAGGGTATTGGAATATATTGAATAAGTCAAAATGGGTTATACCAGCTTCAAATTCTAATCAGAAGTCTGCTGGGTCTTTCTCCAATGAAGATTGTCTCCTAGATACAGATCCAAAGCAGAACTTTCTTTGACTTTTTTTTTTTCTTTTTCACAGGGAGGAGGAGTTCGATGAGTACTTTCAAGACTTGTTTCTCTGAAACTTGAAATTGATGTAGGCTGATTTTCTTCATGAATTATCAAGATGAAAGTCTGGAAATCCAGTCGCAATTACAGACCAGAGACCTCTTTCTGCCAGAGTCCCTTTTCTACAGTCACATGTGTGGACTGTCTCAGTAGATTACCTTTGCAGAACGCTTCAGGTCTAAAAGCTTTCTTTTTCTTGTGGTAGGCTGTATACTCATGAAATAAGAGAAATACTTTTATTTCAGTTCAGTGCAAAAGATATATGGCACTCAGACAAAAGTAGGAGGGATATAAACAAGTAATATAGTTTATTGACTCCACATTAAGGAAGTTGGCTGCTTTTTATTCTATCAACTTCAGTTAGTGTCAGATTTTGGTAAATGGGCATTTTAGAAGATTCTGTTATTAGTTTAAAGCCGTACATTTGAACATATTAATATTTCTAATTTATTAAACAGGAGTTAATAGTCATAGCTTACTCTAAGTCTTAGTTAATAGAAGTTTAGTTCATTGTGACTTTGTTTCAAATTTTAGTTATAATATGGTGTGACCGATAATTCCACTTATAAAAAGCTGTCAGTTGGTGAAATTTTTGAGGTAAAAAGTAAAGTGTGTGGCTTTCTACTGGAGATGTACATGTGACTTGTATGTTATCTGTGGTCTCTGATCTCCTTAAGGTTGGTTGAATGTTAATCCTTCTTTAAAGTGTAATCCTAAATATACAAGTAAAGAATGTATACTGGTTGAGAAACTTACTGGATTCGTCTTCCTCCTCACATTGCAACACAACTTTAAATGTTCTTTATTTATGTTTCCAAAGAAACAATCTGCACATCAATAGTTAACAGTGGCTGTTCTCTTTCGTCAGATGAAAATTACTTCAGATACAAAGGACAAACTTTTTAAAGTCAAATGTTCATGTTAATCTGAGGAAAGTTAATGTTGTATAAAATATATTTTTGATAAATACTTCCCACTGTAGATATTTATAGAAAGTATTTATAGTAAGTATTTGATGTGGGAAATGTAACAGCAGAGATGGTTGCTATGTATTTATGAACATTTCACATGCACTCATGAATAAATTGAGAACTCTATTTACAAGTATTACTTAACATAATTACATTGTGAACAGTTTTTACTTACATAATAGATGACAGTACAAGGACATATTTAGGATGTACTTGAGGAAAAAATAAACATTGCCTTGCATGAAGGCTTCTTTAGGTAAGAAGGTGGATTTAAAGGTTAATTCTCTGTCATCTTGCAGTCTTGGTTGAGAGTCAAATCCAATCTGCAGCAATCTGCTTACACGTATGCAACTTGCCCAAAGGGGCATTTTGCCAAATATGTTGCTATAATTGTTGTTTCAATTATTGTATATTACATGTTCTGGATAACTAACTCCTCTTTGCGTCTTCAAAATACAGTTATGAAATGGTACACTATACATTTTAGATACATCATTTAATACAGGCTGAATAAAATTACATGGTTAAAAAACCTTGAAATAGCTTTACTTAGTACCTGCATTTAATACAGAAAATAATACATTATGTCCAGTTTTATATCATAATTAAGTCTGCATAAAATATTTGGCCCATTTATAAATAAGGATGTAGTAAGTGGAATTTTTTTTTTTGTGGATTTCTTTAGTCTTGGGTGATAATTGTACACAGTATCTATGTTTGTAGAGCATTTCTTAGAAAGTTATACAATATGGCAAATCATTCAGTCATTCTCCCTTCTCCAAGGATGCTGAGGAAAAAAGTGTGAATCTGCTTTCTTTAGAGGGGAAGGAAAAGTGGTAGGTTTGAGTCTGCATGTCAAACTTGTTGCAGGAGTTGCATTTAACATCCAGCTTCTTCTAGATTTGGAGCTGGCTGCAGTGAATACTCAGGTCTGTGCATAACACAGATCTGCAGGAAGAGCCAGCTTCATGAGACCTGAGTAGAAGGTATGGAGTGGACTCTTCATTCTTCAAGAATGGAAGGTTTTGGTAGGGAGATCATTGTTCACAAAGAGCTGATTTGTTTGCAGTCTGTCTTCTTGGTAGTAGGAAGGGAGGTAATGTGAATTCTAATAAGCTCTACTTCTTTTGTCCTCTTCCTCACAAGATTAAACTGGTGGCACTTTATTGTTTTTCCAATACTTTAATTTACTGCATTGTAGAGAAAAAGTGCATTTGGGGTACATGAGCCTTTTAAAATGCCTTTGAATGCAGATTCTGCTGTAGATAGACTGGTATAGGTATCTTGGTAAACTCTTAATTGTAGGACAAGTATTATGTTTGTGGACTGATTTTTCAGATTTTTCCAATAAAAGGTGGTCAGTTTAGGAACTGTGAGCAGAGCCATTTGCACACGGGCACAGTGGCTTCTTTGAGCTATCGCTATGATTTAGAAATTTATCATTGGTAGTTTTGAAAAAATACTGTGCCCCGTGGACCTGGTTTTTAAAGATACGAGCTAGGGAACTGTGTTGAGGATTCCTAAAGTGAAGGAGATGTGTACTCTAGAACTTCATACAGTATTGAAGGTGAAGGAAAAGAGCAATTCCAGATTAAGGAAATACACATAATATAAAAATCTAAATATACATGTTACAAAAATTGCAATGTTTTTGTTTGAATTGTACACATTAGCTTTCAATCTGTAATTTCATATAAGATCTGTCAACCTTTTTTTTTTCTGGACAGTATGTAGAAGTTACATATTTTCATAAAAATACTGTATATAAATTGTGACATGAAAAAAAATACCTGGAGCTCACAGTTAAACTCATTTTGCACCAGTTTTCCAGTTTTCAATTTTTGTTTTGCAACTGTTTGTTCACTCCATTAAAGATTATTTCCAACAAACAGCAAGTGTTCAAAAGGATTGTTAAAGAGATGGAGCTATACTATTCTATGTGAAGCAGAAATCCACTGAGGCTCATAGAAGTTCTTTCTAGATGTTTTTTTTTCTGTAGCAGAAACAGTTTCTGAGACAAAGAGTTACAAAATTATACATGTTTTGGATTTTCCATCCTCTCCACCTCCACCACCGCCGCCGCCACCGCCGCCACTGCTTGCAGCTGCTGCAGCTTCAGCTAAAAAACAGAGAAGGAAAGGAAAGTGAGTATTTTCTGTTCATTTTAGCTGCTCTAATTTCTTGTTAAAAAGGTATTGCTTTTTTGATACGCATATTATGTGTGTTTGCCCTTCTGAAAATTGAACATGCTTTCACTACGTGTCTGGGAAAATGGAATAAGAAACAATAACCTGTGCTATATATACACGTGTATATAGCGTAACAGTTGGTACCGACTTTTCTCAAAGGACCAAACACACACTGAACCACTCTTGCTGGAAAGTTTCAGTAACTAAATATATATATAGCTCTGTCCCACACATACAAAACTGAGGTATGCAAGCCATGCAAAATAAATAAACTCTTCGATCAATATAAGCCGCTAATCTATTTTTGAAGCAGATGATACAAAAACTTTAATTTGACCTAATTGTATAAGCCCTTATCCAACCCTGCATGAATCCCTTTGTAATTACCAATCAAGAGAGACACTTCTAATGTTTGTTGTCTATAGCTACTGATTCTGTTACTGTCTCTCTCAAATGATTCCACAGATGTTAATTTGCCATAGTTAAGATTCTTTCTTAAATAAATAGCGTTTCCAGGTTCATTTAAGGTAAGATACCAATATTAGAATTAAAACTTACATTTGAAAGCTGTGGATCACCATGTTACTAGGTCATTTTCGACCCTTTCCACCCTTTCCACCTGCATTGAAACATGTCACATAATCAGTGTCCTACCCTCTGTAATTTGTGGATATAATCAACACTATGTTACTAACTATGTATTTTATTCTATTAGTTTAATAGTATGTATTCTGGTTTAGTTTCTGTTCTGAACTTTCCACTGTAGTGGTTCAGCAAATATGTTTATTTTGTTTTCCATCTAAGAAGAGCCAGGTCAGGGTGATCTAGAGAAATGACCACAGTTCAGCGTGTATCAAATTACTGTTTGTAAGAACTGACTTAACAAACCCATATATATATATATATGTATATATACACATATATACACATGGCCTTGTTTTGACAGTGTCAGGTCTGTTCTTCACAAATGTGCATGGCCACATTCCATTGCAAATGTTAAAAGATGCAAAATAATTCACTTACATTTTGTGATACCAGTTATGATACGCAAAGGTCACATCCTTAGCTCCTGCAAATCATTCAGTCCATGCTTGCCTGTGTAAGGTTCCATGTGGGAAAAAACTTCTTTCCTTAAGTCAGTGACTAAGTGATTCCAAAATACTAGTGATGTAAGATGGTCCTAACTTGAAGTGTGAGTAGAAATACCTGAGCCTTCCTAAATGTATGATTTAATTTTTATTTAAGAACTGTATGCTTAAGAGCATAGGATCAGACTTCAGTAACTATACACTTTACCAAGAAAGCAAATGTATAAGGAGGTTTGTGTGTAGGTCCTGGGTGGTTTAGTTTTGTTTTGCTGGCATTACTGTGAAGTTCAGATGCTCACATTCCCGTGTCAGGAGAGAGCACTTTGTTTGTACTCACAACCAGCTAGTTCTCAGCAATAAATTAATCTTAAATAAGATTATATGATTGAAAAAAAAGTGTCTTTAAAAATAAATTTTTGAGACAATGGGGTGGGCATAATTTCTGTGAAAGTGTAAGTGGTATCACAATGTGAGCAGGACAAAATACTGTTGTAATTTTATTACAGTAATAAAATTTATCTCATTTTATGAGTCGTTTTATGAAACCTCTCTTTTAAAAAATCTGTTTGATTAAGTCATGTAACTTACTGTACTCTTTAAGCCAACATATTTTTGCAACAACATATTTTATTCTAATTTTAGCTTAGTATAATTTATTTTAGGAGTTGATAACTGACTAGTTCCACTTCACACTCTTGACAGTTACGTGATGGGGGGCCTTGAGTAGCCTCTCCTTTGTGTGAAATGTGAAGAGTACTCACCTATT